TCTAGCACTCGTCCCAGGGACTCCAAAAAGGGTGGGTACTCTGAACTGATATTTGGCCCATAAGCACAAACAACAGTCAGGACCCGTTCCCCGACCCGAAGGCGCAAGGAAGCTACCCTCTTGTCCCCCGGGGTAAACCCCAACACACAGGCAGAGAGTCTCGGGGCTAACAAAAAGCCAACCCCAGCCCTCCGCCTCTCACCCGGAGCAACTCCAGCAAAGTAGAGTGTCCAACCCCTCTCCAGGTCTCGGGTTCCAGAGCCAATGCAATGTGTCGAGGTGAGTCCGACTATATCTAGCCGGTACCGCTCAACCTCTGCCACAAGCTCCGGCTCCTTCCCCGCCAGCGAGGTGACGTTCCATGTCCCAAAAACTAGTTTCCTTGTCCGGGGATTGGACCGCCAAGGCTCCCGCCTTGGTCTGCCACCCGATTCACATTGCACCGGACCCTTCATGTTCCTCCTGCGGGTGGTGGGTCCACAGTTGGACGAGCCCATGTATCCGGTTCGGGCTGGGCCCGGCCGGGCCCCATGGGCGAAAGCCCGGCCACCAGGCGCTCGCTCACGGGCCCCAACCCCAGGCCTGGCTCCAGGGTGGGACCCCGGTAACCCTCCGGGCCGGGTACTCCGACTCTTCGTTTTCACCGCCATGAAAGATCCTTCGAACCGTTCTTTGTCTCACCCTTCACCTAAGACCAATTTGTCATGGGAGACCCTACCAGGGGCACTAAGTGCCCCAGACAACATAGCTCCTAGGATCATTAGGGCACTCAAACTCCTCCACCACGATAAGGTGACGGTTCAAGGAGAAGTATATATTTTATTACATGCAAATATTAAAGTCAAAGTAAATTAAATGTATTCTGTATCTTTTCTTTTTATAAAATATTTTCTCAGTCATTGAGGTTCTGGAGTTGTTTAGCTTTATTGTTTTTGGACTTGGTGTTTTTACTTAAAATTTTGTTTGCTGCTTCTGTGTATTTTATTTTTATTTATTTTTTTTGTTTTGTTTTGTTTTACCATTTCCTGTAAATGAAATCAGGTGTTTGAGTTTTTATTTATAAGATGATGTCATGGATTTTATCAATATGTTTATCAATGCACAGTTCTACAATTTTATGGCAGTTCCTGTAAGGAGATTGGGAAGGGTTAGCAAAACCATATAATACACAGAAAACATCAGTTCGGTGTATTGAAACATCAGGTGAATTCTGTTTAAAGCTCCAAGTTGCAGACAAATCTTTCAGTGAAGGAGGAAAAATGAAGGTGTAATATTAATTTACGCAGCTCTAACTATGGCAGAGCTGAGGCAACCCAGGCATTCTTCATCAAAGGGCTTGTCCGTGGACTGAGAGTCCCAGTTGGAGAACAGGTTTGAAAGTCCTCTTCCGTTGGTCAGGATGGTTTTAGTCTTGCGTTGATGAGTACCTCGAAATCCATGTCCGGAGCATAATAACGTAGTTCGGAACATGAAGCGCAAAGTTCAACTTCTCATTTGGAAGACACCAGGGTCCTTCCATGGCGTGTCAAGGCGGTTGTCCAATTGTCAGGGAGCTGATCTCGAGGCATGAGGCAACTCAGGGCTCACCTGAAACGAAACATAAACAAAAAGGGTCCGATACCGGCAAGCATTGCACCAACCCAATGTTAAAATTGGACCTTGCATAATATTACGTCCTCGGCCCTCTAGGAGAGATGAGGAGGGGACGTAATAAAAATAGTGTGTGGGTAAAATAATCAACGTGCTGTGTCACGTAAAAAACAAAGAATTTTATTACAAAACACGGGATATTTACAAAGAACCTAAAAACAATACTAAATACAAAACCAAAGGAGCAATATTCAAAAAGGAGATAACGTAAAGCGCCAACCCAGAAGGGGATGGGGATAAACAACTGAGAATATCAAATTTTATACAAAAAAGGGAGATCCTAAATTCCAAGTCAAAATGCCGTTCCAAAGTCAAATAGCCAAACGATCTAATTCTAAATCCAAATTTCAAAACAAGTCCAAATTACTGATGTGTCGGTCGCGAACGAACCGGCTCTAAGAGCCGGCTCTTTGAAGTGAACGACGGGAGCTGGCTCATCATTGGGAGCCGTCCCCCCCACCCCCCCCACCCCCCCCCCCACCCCCTTCCCTCTTGCTTTGGTCAACATGTGTAACTGCGTGTCCAGACTGTCCACACACAGAGCAGTAGGGGTGGATCAGACTCAGACACACAGCAGAGCACATGCGGGTGGAGAGAGATGAGAGGGAATGAGGAGGGGGAGAAAGGTGAGAGAGAGAGAGGAGAGTACGACGAAGACGGTGAGAAAATGAGCGCCAGCAGTCGGAAAGTGGAGATTTCCTAAAGTGTTCAGTTATTAAATCCAAAGAAATGATGAATATTTAATATTATATTATATTATATTATATATTGCTATTTTTACATTAGTAAATCATTTTACAAATAATTTTGCATTATTTTGGTTATATATGGACTCTACGCAACAGAAAATCTGTGGAGCCACTTAGGGAGCCAAAAGAGCTGGCTCTTTTTGGTGAGCTGAGCCAAAAGAACCGGTTCTCTAAAAAGAGCCGGAATTCACATCACTAGTCCAAATACCAAAGTCTACCAAGCAAAACGAGTTAATAGCGAACAAGGAGAAGAGAATGGTACAACCTCAGTCGAGTCAATACTACCCTTGGGCCTTCTCCAAGACTGAGGGAGGAGAGCAGCTTTTAACAGCTGCTCCCTGATTACTGATTCCGAACAGCTGAGATTAGAAACAGCTGGCACTGGGAGACAAGCCAGGCAAAAGCCACTGAGGCCATGTTGTGGCCAAAAAGGGGCACGGCACGTAACACACAACGTGAAAAACACCCATTCCAAGGAACTTGTAATTACTAGCTCACATCAGCAGGGGGCAGAGTCGTGCAGCACAGTGTGCATAAAACAACAAAACAACCCAAAACAAACCAACGACTAACAAAAAAGCCATAATCACAAAAAGTTATTTACATAACCTAAGAGTAACAGGAGAAACTGTAGTAAAAGACTAATCTGGGTTTTTATCTTTTAGGAACTATATTAGAAGCTTTTCTGATTTCTGCTTAAGAATCACATGGCTGATAGAATATTTTCTTACTTGTGCCCAAGGTCTTTTAGAATGTGTGTTTACATTCTGATACGACCTTGCTGTTTAACCCAGACACAGCGGAGCGTGAAATTCTGTGTCAAATCATTTCAAGGTTCCCAATCTGGGCATACATGAAAAATTAAAAGAATTAAAACTTATTAAATGCAAATTCCCTACAACAGCTTTAATTTGCTGTCTCATTTAATTTTACTTCCAGACAGTTTCTCCCCTTGTTCTAATCACAAGGCCCGCTAATTAGAGATCTGAACAAGTTCCTAAATTTAACAGAAAGATTCAGTTGATGACAACCGACATTTTTAGTGTTCAAAAGGCAGTTTTTGAATTCAACAGGTACTGCTCACCAGATTATGTTCACCCAGGTGTGATTGTCACCCGCTGAACCCCCTTGTCTTGGTTTTAAGCGTCAGAAACAAAGATAAAAAAAAAAGTAGTCACTAGGTTTGTTGGTCTGGGATCCCTGTTTTGACTAAAATCAACTCAACTCAACTCAACCTCTATTTATAAAGCACCTTACAGACATGAGCATACCACCAAGGTACTGTACAACAAAATAATAAAACAATAAAACATAAAGCGCCACAGACATTATTAAAACCACAAATAAGAATTATAAAACATTAACAATTGTTAACCCACAGAATTAAAAGCCAAATCATAAAAGTAGGTTTTCAGCCTCATTTTAAAAACTGCTACTGATGGAGAGCCCCTAATAGTTAGGGGCAGTGTATTCCACAGTTTCGGACCCGCAACAGAGAATGCCCTGTCCCCTCTCAACTTCAGCCTAGCCTTAGGAGCCACAAGCAGCAGCTGGTTTTCAGAGCGGAGTGACCGGGCCGGAACATATGGCTGCAGCAACTCCGTCAAATAGGTTGGAGCCACACCATTCAGCGCCTTAAAGCTTGGTTTATGCTTGACACATTCACTTTCCGCTTGGTGATGCGGCTCGCGGATGGAACGCGCTTCACAACTCGCAGCGTTTATGGTTCATGCGGCTCGTCTCTGCGGTGAGCCAATATTCTCCCAAACTGTAGGGGGCAGCATGGAGCTCTACGGCATGCATCCAACACTACACCATAGTAGAAGTAGAAATTACTGTTTACAACACGGCATTCCAGCATTTTTAACAGCGTCCTCGTCTTTTCTGACAGTGCGAGCTTTTTCCTCTCCAAGAATTATTAACAACATGTTGATCACGGTGATCTTTGAGAGCTGAATCATACAAATGTCTGTATTTATGAACCTCTGCCATACTAGTTCTTGCCAGTCCGCCATGTGTTTTTCCGCGTCCGACCGTCCGCGTGGTTAGAAAATTTCTAGGTTTTTAATTTTTAGGTGCGCGGTGCGGAAATTTTGGGCCATGCAGAGGCGTGGTTGTTAAAATGACGCAATTTTGTCGTGCGGACCTCGCGGACGTGTCAAGCATAAACCAACCTTAAACACCATTAAAAGAAGTTTAAAACGAATTCTAAAATCAACAGGCAACCAGTGGAGAGCAGTCAAAAAATACACTCTTAGCTTTTATTTGGGTACTCATTTACTACCAAGTACTGATAAACAGTCAATGTCTCAAATTGAGGGATTCCACTAAAACCCTTCACTTTCAGCCACTAAAAGTGACGCAGTTTATAGTTCAAATTATATTATTCACCAGAAGAACAGGAATTAAATATTTGGCCAGTGCTTAACCTTTTGGTGCATGCATTATGAAATCTTCAACCACGATTTTTTAACAGTTATTTTCATTCATCTTTGGGTGTGAAAAGACTCAGAACATCTCTACTCAGGCTGTCCTACACAACATCACAGATACTCCGAGTTCTTCCGTTCAGCCTCCCTCTGAGCTCTCCCATCTCTTTGGAATCCCTCTGGGTTTATCCCGACTCGGCTGATGACATACCTTGGCTGCTCCCAGAGGAAGCTCATCAAGGTGAAACGTCACTACCTGCCCAGAAGCACCGCAGACGGTCTGAACTCCACCTACACCAAGCTTTGTGCCCTTAAAGCCATGCAGAGTAGGGAATTCTACGATCAGCCCTCCTTTGACCACTTTAAAGCGCTGTGTGCATACACAGCCGGCTCCTATAGTGATCTGAACCAGGCCGTTCGTACAGGCTGGGCCTCTGACAGCACCACTTTCAGATTTCACGCCCTCCACTTCCTGCTTTCTGACGCCATCCGGCTCCTGAAAGTCAACCAAAGGAGCTGCTACACCTCATTCAGACGGAGCAGACTGTTATTTTTGGGAAAACCTGGACAGACCACGCGCTTCGGCTCTTTTGCCTCAAGCTCCCTCAATAAGAAGCTGCGGCATTTTGGGCAAAGAACCTGTTTTGAAATACGCACGTGTTTCGGGGCTTACTTGAAGTCCTACTCAGACTTTGATTCAGATGAGGACGAAGTCCTGATCCCTCCATTTGAGATGTTTAAAATAGTTTCTGTTGACACGTCAGGAACTAATCATCTGAACTGTGATGTTTTGTATCAGCTGGAGCCAGCAGGAGGACTCTCAACTGTCAGGCTGTGAGATCGTAGAAGCTGGGAGACTTATGCACATTGTATATTCTAAGAAACATTAGCTTACATTATTTTTAGAACTTTATTTAAATGTGTATTTATGTTCATGAAAAATATCTGCCTAAGAAATTCTTTAAAACGATTTTGCCAAGTGACATTTCTATTATTTACCTGTTTTATATTTGGTCAGTTTATTGATATGTTTAGAGGTGTAGGAAACCCGTTAAATCAGTACATCTGCAGTGGTCTCTGGTAGGAATGAATGCCTTGCAAACTGTACTCGGGGCAAAAATAGCCCAGAATCGTTGGGATCAGCAGGGACAAGTCTGCTGCAGCATGATTTGGAGTCTTATTTCCTGATATTTGGAGATCTCACCTCGGATTGGATACCAGCAACGCGACTCAACTACCAACTTGGAACGTTGATGTTTTATTTCCACAAATAACACAAGCCTGGAGGAGTTTTTCTGTGTGGTGAAGTTGCTAATGCTAACGATTAGCTTCTACTATTCGGGCCATTTTCTGCTGTTTCCTGGATGCTAAAAAAAAAAACAACAGCCTTCTCTGCTGTGAGTCAGCATGGATGAGTCCATGAATGTTAGACAGTGTGACGAAGATCTGTGAGGATTTTCAAATCTTAGTTTCACCGTCTATTTGCTATCAGAAGCTAATGCAGGAGATAGATGTAGGAGACTATTTTCATCTTCAGCCTGCATGAAAAATGCAGAGTGACTGATTATAATCAGAGTTCCACAGCTTTCACATTTATGAGTTTTAACTGAAACTGTTTCTCAGATGAGAAGCAAAGGAGTCCTGTCCCTCCTGAGCCTGGTAGGAGAGCTGAACAGATCCAGAGAAACAAAGAAACTTCAAAAATAAATAAAAACAATAAAACTTTAATGCAACAAAACTTTTACACTATACACTTTGGGAAATATTTCAACTTTTAATCTAATTTTTAAGAAGAAAAAAACTGCACAAATTCTTAGAATTTTTTTCTTCTTCACATCTGTTATAAAATAGTTATACTGGTTTTTAAAAACTATGCTCAATAGACAGTTTTCACAGATCTTGACCCACTCACATCAGTTTATTCTGATATCAAATTACATAGGAGTAAATGTGATTGCACATTATTATTATTATTAATCGTGATGACACAACAAAACCTACTACCAGAGTTTCCTGGATTTTATAGCTGCATTTCACGCCTCTGAAAGGCATTTCCCATGATTCCCTCTGAATGTGATTTCCACTGAAGCAAGCAGGAAGTCTGATGCAAGTCAGAAGGCGTCTCTTTTCCTTTAAATTTCTCAGAGAAACTCCACGGACCCCAATAAGCAATCAGCTAAAAATATCTGCAGAACGAATTCAGCATCAGGGCTGGGAGGAGTAAAACATCAGATTACTGGATGACCTTTGACCTCTTGTCTAAGATCAGCATGGAGGGCTGTAAAAACTGGTGAAATGATTTGTTCCCAGTCCAGAAGTCCCATTTAGAGGATGAGTTCCCCGACCGTTTCTTCCTGTGCAGGTCTACATCTTCTCATATGTGAGTTCATGTCCACAGCTGGTGCAGGTTTTCTTGTATAGATCATCCTCTGGGTCCACCACCTCCTCTGGTCCGTACTGATGTTGGTGTACGCTGGTGTCTTTGGTCCACATGCTGCTCCTCACCGCCCTGCGTAGCTCTGACATACAAACACACACACACTTGTTTACCATCGCACAGCGAGAACAATGTTAAGAAAGATGAAAAATCTACCAGATAGAGAACTGACCTTTGACCTTCTTGTTGAAACGCTTTTGTTTCTTTGCCTCTTTGTTTTCTTCCCTGGTCTCTTTAGCCTCCTCCAAGGCCTCCTCTGAACCCCAAACCTCCATACACCTTTTCTCTACCTGTAGTTTACAAGCACAGAAAAATGTTAAAACTGTTCACAACTTAATCCTGTGAATTCTATTTAAAGAGCTTAAAGACACACACGCACACACACACACACACCTTTCTGCCGTACCAAATTCTTTTAATACAATCACACGTTCTAAAGCTGACTCCTCTATTAGTTCCTAACGGAAACGACCATAAAGCTGAATGGTGATCCTGGACTTCAGAAGAACTAAATATCAGAATCTTTATCAGAAACACACAACAGGATTCAGCCAAAGAAAAGAATTTCTACCACTGAATCATCCTCACCACTTCCATTATGGTCTGCTTTGATGCTTCCACAGCCAAAACAAAGAAAGACTGCAGCAAAGCATCAGTTCTCCAGGTTCTGTCCACCTCCAAAACCTTAATGGAGGGCCAGACAGACCACCACTGACCCCTCCCACCTTGGAAATAAATGTTTAAAGAAACCACTTTCTAATCTAGTATCTCATGTCACGAGAACAAGATCTACGGGATCTATGAGCACCACTGCTTGTTTACCTGTCAGCTCTTCTGCAGTGAGACCCCTACACAAATTCCTCCTTAGCAATAAACCTAATTCTGGTTCATGAATAGGCCCCTCTTGTCAAATCCTAACTGTGAAATTTAAGGTTATAGCTTTTTCTGTAGCCGTCACAAAGTCTCTGGTGAATCAAAGGGAATCTGTGCACCTGCAGCAGGAGGTAGAGCTTCATGTCTCCCCAGCGGGAGTTGTGAGGGTTTTTCTTCAGAATGAACCGGAGGGGAGGCTCCCTCTTGTCTAGGTCACAGTCCTTCAGCAGGAAGCGCTGCTTTGCCTCCGTTCTGGAGATCAGCTTGTGCTTCTCCTCGTTGTCTCTAAAGATGATTCGTTTTTCTACTGTTAGTTTTTATGGTCATCAAACTAAAAACGTACATCTGCGAGCTAATAAGCAACAAGTAAGTCTGAAAAGAAATGATTGCTACAAGCACTGGTAATGTTTTAGCTGGTTTGCCTCATCCTAATGTTTATTAACTGAGAAATGTTATTTTGTAAAGGAAAACAAACATGTTTATCTTAAAAAAAAACATTGTGTAAACTGTTTATGTTACAATAAAAAAAGAAACATTTTAAAACGTGACAAATTTTCTGACATATTTCCTTGTCTAAATTACATGTGTGTGTGTGTGTGTGTGTGTGTGTGTCTATATATATACCTGCACTTGTCACACACAGATAGATCAAAGGTGTTGCTGAGGAAAGAATCCATGAAGGGTTTCTGACAGTCATCACACAGCAGGTAGTCTGGTTCAATCACTGGGGCTGAGAGCAAAACACACAACTTAAAACAAGTTTGGGGCAGCAGTAGCTCAAAAGGTTGAGCAGATTGTCTAGTAATCAGAAGGTTGCAGGTTCGATCCCGGCTCCGGCCAGAGAACTCTGCTGTTGTGTCCTTGGGCAAGACACTTAATCCACCTTGCCTGCTGGTGGTGGTCGGGGTGGCGCCTGTGCTCGGCAGCCCCGCCCCTGTCAGTGCGCCTCAGGGCAGCTGTGGCTACATCGTAGCTCATCACCATCAGTGTGTGAATGTGCGTGTGAATGGAGGAATGATACACCGTAGTGTAATGGGCTTGACACACGGGAGGCGACATCGCCTCTCCTCCATTCATTTTCAATGAGACATGCGCGACAATCGCGGGTCTCTCTCCTACTAGCGAAACGCAAAAAACGTGCGTGTGAAATTTTGCGCTCGTGCACGTGTCGTGCACGGACGACCCAGCGGTTGGAGCTCCGCGATTATCGCTTTGTCGCGCATGTCTAATTGAAAATGAATGGAGGAGAGGCGATGTCGCCTCCCGTGTGTCGAGCCCGTTAAGCGCTTTGGAGTCCTTCTGAGAGGCGCTATACAAGTGCGGGTCATTTATCATTTAACAAGCAAGCGCACGCACGAACGATCTCGCGCGCACGCACACACACACACACACACCTGGCTGGTGAATCACTTGCTTGACCTTCTGCTCTCCGTCTCCTTCCTCCTCCTCGATGAAGAAGCCAGCACCGGAGTCGATGGTTTTAGAAACTTTGGCCGAATTAGCTCCCTCCACAGCGGACAAAGGGCGGCTCGCTAGTCGTGCTTGCCGTAGCATCAGCGCTCGCTGCCGGTTCCTCTCGATTTTAGCTCGCATCGCGGCAGAAAGTTCAGGTTTGGGGCTCTTGTCTGGCAAAGGTTCAGGAGCATCCGCTCCGCAGGACTCGGAGAGGTCCATACTTGCCCGTTAGCGATCACCATAAAATCACTTGTGGCTTAAATAACCTGGTTGATATCAAACATAACTTAGCGCTGCATTGTTGTTATACAACTGACTGCAGCAGGCTTCCGTTGCTCAGTTCAGTGCGATGGTTTTGTGCAAGGAATAAGAGATCGTGCTGCCCCCTTTCGGTGTGGGGTGGAAATGACCCAAAAGTTGATGATGATGATAATAATAATAATAATAATAATAATAATAATAATAATAATAATAATAATAATAATAATAATAACATATTTTAAGGAATTGTCTGTTTTAATAGTTTATCATTTTTTTTACCTAAATTCCTTTTTATTTAATACTATTGAATAATTTATGAAGTATGAAGTATCGATAGTTGCTGTGCTGCAAACCCACATCATAGTTCTGTATAAGTTTCTCGGTGTAGCTTTTTAATCCATTTCTGCTGCCATCTTTTCTTCAGTTAAATTATTTTACCGCACCCTCAAGATTTGATAAAAGGTAAACATTCTGACCGTTTAACTGATAACCAAGCTCCTGATTGAAACACAGCATCCTGATTTGCAAGACTTCAGGCGTATTTAAATTATCTGCGACAATTTTCAAGATCCCTTTTAAGCTAGCTTCTTTTGACTTGCTCCTCTTATTGGCATCTGGTATAAAAGTTCATCTCAACCTCACAGCATGTCAGCATGCACTAAACCCTTAACTTGATGCATTTGGTGTTAAAGCTGCATTTGCAGCTTCTTTCTGATCAAATGGAGGTTTTCAGGGTTAGTCAAACTAGCAAAAACACATTTTCACTCAAGAAATACCCTAGAGTCCCACTGGATAATAAAGATAATTAATTTAGCAAAACACATTTTAGGTGAAGCAAATTTAACTTAAAGCCCCAAGCTCTGATTAGTAGCTGTGACATTTTCATACGAATAACTGACTGGCATGTCCACTTCATGCACATCTTCCTTTAGGTTGTTGGTTGGACGATGAAGACATCACCTGTCCTCAGATGTCTCTGAAGACCAATGCAGATAAAAAGAGGTGAGTTATTTTCTGGATGTCCTCGGGTGTCCAGTTAATCTGTGTCCTATGGCGATAATGGTCGTAAGCCACGTATAGCTCTGTAAGGAGCTTGTGTCTAGGTAAAGCTCGTCCCTTACAGGTAGATGAAACTGAGGTTATGGCCGGAGAAATAAGTAAACTGAAAATATGGTTCATTATATTAATGATGGCACCGAAACAGCGACACAATCAGAAAACTGCTGCACCAGCTCTTGTGGAAAATTAGAGTTATGAACACAATTAAACTTTTTAACATTTCTTTATTCATGACATTTTTTTAAACAGGGATTAACATGTGTTTTTACAGTTTGGTACGTGATTCAAGTACATGAAAATGCTCCCATATCTAAGAAACACAGCAAAGAAATGCAGCTTTGTTATATCATTTGAGTATGAAAAGTGATGAAGGAGAATTCTTGTAAATATTTTAAAATGCACTCATTCATTCAAACATTCTGCACACCCAGGTGATCCATTTAGGCAGAAAAAAACTCAAAAATCATTCAGTAACTTCATAAATATTTAAAACTAAATAAAGATGAAGTGATACTGCATAGCCAACTAAATTTGAACTGCAGAGGTGTAAAAAAATATAATGTTTAAAACCTATTGCATGTATTTTCTCTTATTTGCATGCCCTATTTGCAATTTACAAATATTTCATGAACACTAGATGAAACACATCATGTGACATTAGGAACCATTGGTACATTCACATGGGAAGAAAAATATGAAAGCATAAAAATAGGGGGGTTGAGTCAAATGTAAATTTTTTTCATTTTATTATCTAAACAGGAAAATAAGATCCTGGTGTTCTAAAAATTAAAAAGCTGCACAATTTAGAATTATTCCTTCAGGAAGAAAACAGGACGTTTCCAACAAAAATTACTCTCTTGTTGAAGATTTCTGGGACACAGACTCATCCCAGATCATTTAAACCATTGGAGAAGTTTGGTATTTTTTTATTTTTGCAATTAGGAAGTTAGTTCTGCAAAACAAAATGCAATTTTCACTAATTATGGTTTTATTTGCCGTTTTAAAACCTCATAAAATTCTCAGAAGGTATAAACACATCTCCTTTTAATGAGTAAATGCAACAACAGAAAGTGGATTTTGAAATTACAGACACGTTTTATTTTATAATAAATACTTTAACATTGTGACATTGTCAAAATATTCACATTATTTCTCGAGGACAAAACTGTTGTTTTATTTTACGCAAGTTGGTTTATTTCAGAAGGAAATATAAAATTTGGTGATGCAAAAGTGAATAACTTTCCTCATGCATGCATCCTTTCTCCATCTCAAGAACAAATCACAGCCAATACATCATTTTATTTTATGACACATGGACCATGACTGTCCTGAGTTTGTAATTTCCAGTTTGGTAGTTAGCATTGCATCCCATAGCTTCCATAAGTTGGACTCTTGGTCTTATAAGACAAATTCTGTGTTAAGAATTACAGTACATGAGCTGTTTTACATCAAAACATTGCAGAGGAAAACCAAAGTTAACTGTAATTGTATTAACAACCTATTGTGAAGAAAGAAGTTAAACAAGATAACTGACAAAGAAAATGCAACTCTTATGTGCGCCCAGAAACAGGAAGAATGTTTTCTACAGAGGTGCACGTCAAGAATGTAAGTATTTAAAGCTCTCTATTATGAACGGGATGAACATGAATATAGTCGTTTCTGCCAAACATGACCTCAAACATGAAGCTGTGGCTGAAACATTTTAATAATGATTATTTTTCTGTCTATTATAATGCATTTTTGTTTAACAGAAATCCCGTGAATCAGCTATTACATTCATGCATTGCTGCTGCTTTTCCTTTCTCCTCTGGGGTTTTTAAACACAAAAACTCTTCTTTTCTGAGCGTCCAAGATTAATTTCTCAGAATTGTTGCTTCCATGAGTGGTGGAGTTTCTTTTTGTACAGTCCTTCAGCTCAAAAGAATAAAAGTTTCATGCAACATTCGAGTTGAACTTGAGGTCCATCTTGTATGTCAGCAGGAATCTACCAATCACGGCCACGGAATGTGGTCACATGGTGCAAAGAAAGACTGCTCATTGGGCAGTGTGAAGTCAAAAGTATAGGCCTGCATGTCTCTGTCAGATATTGTGATGCAATAGCTTGGTCCTGCAACCATGAGTGCTGCTTCACCTCCATCAACAATGTGTGTGTGTGTGTGTGTGTGTGTGTGTGTGTGTGTGTGTGTGTGTGTGTGTGTGTGTGCGCGCGTGTGCGTGTGTAGGGTTCAGTATCATGAGCACATGAGACAGTTAACAGGCAGTTTCCTATTGCACTCTCATTAATAGATTTCATGTCATTTGATGGGAGTCCTTCTCTCAGACGGTGACAGGACACACAATAATTTTATCCTCCAGCATGACGCTGATGATCAGGAAGACGAAGTAGAGCAGAAACATTAGTAAGCCCAGGAACTTGCTCATTTTCCACTTGCAAATCGCGATGGATATGATGACAAAGAGGAGCATGAGGAAGAGGAGGACGATGGCACAGAAAAGGCCGTTGCTGCTCACCTCCACAGACTTGAAGTCATTGATGATGTTGTAAATGAGCCATGGGAATGGGAGGCTGCGGAGACAGGAGACTCAGTAAAATAATTCTATGAGGAGTGACAGACTTTTGAAGCTGGGGTGTGTAGTTTAAAATGCTTTTAAGTAACTTTAAAATTTGACTATCTGACCCTGTTCTATGATATAAAGTAGGTCATCTTTCATACTTAAAACTTCCCATAAGTCCCTCCCTGGCCCTTACGGGAAAACAAATAATTGACGTGAGTCTAGAGTGTTGACCAACAGAGTTGTGTGTCTACAAGAGGGAGCTGTCAATCATCGAGAATCACCCAGCATGCACTGTGGGGTGACACACTGACGCACAGTCAGCTTAGCACACCAACCTAGCTTGAATGCTAACAAGATGGGTGAGTCTATACGACCGCTTGACATAGATCTGACAGACGTAGAGTTTCACAGTTTATTTTCTATCAGAAGCTAAAGCAGGAGATAGGTGTAGGAGACCATTCACATGATCAGCCTGCATGAAAAAGTCAGTGACCAATTTATAATCAGCAATAATTATTTAAACAAATATTTTCTGTGTCCCACACCTTTAATTTACCAGTAGACTCACCCCACAGTGATATCAAAGATGTTGGATCCTACTGAACTGGACACAGCCATGTCACCGAGGCCTTTGCGTGCAACAATCACACTTGTGATCAGGTCGGGGATTGAGGTACCAGCTGCTAATATGGTCAAACCCATGATCTCCTCAGTGATCCAGAAAGTCTCTCCGACCTACGATGAGGCAGAGTTCAGAAATGTATTTCAATCAGAAAAAATGTTTGTAGTCAGTGCTCAGAAAAAAAAAGTATCCCTTGTTTGATTTGCACAGTTAACCTGAAAGCATTTGCATTAATGCTCATTTTGACTGAACTATATGAGTTCAGTTGTATGAATTGTTAATGGTGGTGTGCATCAAGGCTTTGACACATCCACATCATTTCTAACAATTGTCTGAAAACATTGTTGTTGCTATCCACTCACCGTAAACATCCTTAAAACATCATTTTTAGGCCTGCTGTTGGATTTGTCCATTGAGATTTACCGGTTCACTCGTTGGTAGATGAAGGAAACTTATTTGAGAATTATCCATGGTTGTTTAAATGCAACTTTTTCAAAAAATTTTAAATCATTTTCTTGAGCCAGTATTTGCTAAAATGATCCTTTACATGGTTATTGAAATGTCACATGGACCCCACCTCTCCCTGTGGCCAGAATACTGCACTTGCAACTTCAGAATGTCCGGACTGTTCCCTGTTAGCAATAGTAATTGGAACTAATATGCTGGTGCTAGATTCTGCTTCCAGCCCATGTTTCTTGCATGTTTTAGATCATGAACACAGCTGATTTGTTTGATTAAGTGATGAATCGCTCCAGTAGAACCTAATGAAGGCTGAGACATTTCAGCTGTTAGATAAAAAGACAAATGCGCCGTGAGGAGAAGAGTTTCACTTTCGGTTTTGAGACAGTGAATTAATAATGGACTGTAGGGGGTGCTAAAAGCAAACTAAACTACCCATGGTGCTTTTAAAATATCAGCCGGCAAAGCCGACTGGTGTCCGCCCAGGACGATCAGCAAAGAGAAATTGGTTTCCTCCACCCAAGGAAGCGAGGGACCGCCGTCCCGCCGTAAAGGTAGGCCACCACATGTAGTACTTCAGTTGCATCCAATGATCAAGTCCAGCAGGAATTTCTTATTAAACTGAAGTTTAAAATATTTGTGTGATCTGGTGGAGCAAATGTTTGCATGGAATTTAAGAGACTGGAGTTATTTTTTAGATTGCAGCAGTACACTAGTGTGTTGGCTGTGTATTAAAAAGATGTTAGCTTATCAGTACTGAGGGACTTTGTTTCTCCAAACAGAGGCTGTTCCGGAAGCTCCCTACAATGGGTTTGATAGTAATGACTCATACACACTTCAACATTCATCTAAAAATGAAACACAACAATCAAATGGTAAATGGTAAATGGCCTGTATTTGATATAGCGCCTTCTAGAGTCCTAGAACCCCCCAAGGCGCTTTACAACACAATCGGTCATTCACCCATTCACACACACATTCACACACTGGTGGGGATGAGCTACAATGTAGCCACAGCTGCCCTGGGGCGCACTGACAGAGGCGAGGCTGCCGAGCACTGGCACCACCGGTCCCTCCGACCACCACCAGCAGGCAACGTGGGTTAAGTGTCTTGCCCAAGGACACAGCGACAGCGACAGACTGAGCGGTACTCGAACCTGCAACCTTCCGATTACGGGGCGAGCACTTAACTCCTGTGCCACCGTCAACCATGTTGTGAACCGTGTGTGTTTGTGACGTACCTGGTGAGCCCACCACACCATCAGGTAGGAGAAGAAGGCAATCCAACTGATCGACCCGAGGAAAGTGATGGGAAAGAATTTTTCAGAGCTCTGGAAAGAATAAAAAGTAGCTTTCTTAGTTACACAATCAATCTTTAGCTTCACCTCAGGTAAGGAATTTATACTCCAGTAAAATTCTCACAAGTCACCAAGGATATTTGATGTTGCCCATTTGGATCCAAAAGGCCTAAAACTTTGATTGTTTTACAAATAATCTTAAATATTTAAATACTATGCTAATTCAGATTTCAGCAAAACAGAAGCAGCCTACCAAAATAAAAGCAGGGTTTAGAGAGTCCCTCTCTAACATCTTTGAGTCCATTTAAAGTAACAACAGATAGTTTTTTAAACTTTAATCTAGAGCTTCAACATTGATCTTAGCTGTAATGCCAGTGATTAGCATTTTCAGTTCGTCGATTGTTAATAAAAAGCACAAGAAGAAGAAAAAAAAGAAGTTTGCTTTTTAGTTGGCATGACAAGTAAATGAATAATGTCTTTGGAGGCAAAGCAAAGAGCTAAAACCAGAATAAACATTGGCGTGGCCTGCGCTAGTTTGAGGGATTTTGTAGGACTGATGGTGACCTGGATTTGTTGTTACTGGACTTGTAAGTAATAACATTTTTTTGTCCAACAGTGTGGATCTTTTTACTTCGTGGTTTATTTTAGCATTAGTTAGCTCATTTTTGTGTTAGCTCATTGTTAGTTCTAGCTACCGCAGAGGTGTTTATGACAGTTGTAATTCCACTTTCAACCATGAGAGTGGAGGACCAGGAAACTGCTCTGTGTTACTTTAACAGAAAGCCTGTGTGAGTCAATTTAGCCATGGGTCATTGATTAAAGTGCAGAAAAGAACCCATCAAGGAACATTACAGACTCTCACAATGTTACCATCAAAGAGACTAAGGTGTTAGGTAGGGGATCCAATCTCCTGACTTTTATTTTGATATGCTGCTTTCATTTCAGCCCTGCTGAAAAAATACCCAGCATATGTTGTGTTTTGTGTGCTGGCATGCTAGTCCAGCATGGGAGGCTGGTAATATTTAAGCTTGACACAAAAAATCTGAGTTAAACATTTAAGATTGAACTCCTGATATCAGTTTTTAACATTTTGTTTACCTTTATGCTCAAACCTTTATAGCATCATTTCTCAAATAAATACCATACCAAGTTTATTTATAAAGCACATGGTATGGTATGGTATGGTATGGTATCACATTAATAATAAACAGTAATACATTAATAAAGAGCAAATGTGTGTGCTGGTGTGTGTTCACCTCTTTCCTGACATCGGGCAGCGTGAGCCACAGCGGTAGGACAATGGGCAGGATGACGAGGTACGTCAGCTGTTTCCTGGGGGTGTCAGGCCAGGCAAGACTCAGAGGCTGGTCTTCATCCTCCTCCTCCTCCTCACCCTGAATAAATTACATACATTTTTTTGTCAGCTAATGTTTTTCCCTCTTACCAGAATGTACTCCGGTACATTTGATTATGGAAAAGGAGCTTCTAAAATTAAAAAGGAAGGATGCACATAAAACCCACACCTGGTTTCCTCCTGCGGCGCCGTTCATCGGTGGTGTGACCTCCACCTCCACCTTTGAACTATTGTGGATCTTTTTCTCAACTAAGGAAAAATATCAAAACAAAGAAACTGTGAAAGTTTGTAGAAAAAAATGTTAAACAATTAGGCTGCTCAAAGGCAACCGATTAAGTCAAGATGATTTTTCCTCTTTCCTTTTTCATCTCATTACTGATAAGATAAAAAACAGGTAAATAACATGAAAAAAGTGAAACAAAAAATCACAATAAGAAGTGCATTTGATTGCACTTCATGCAATTTTCCAGATTTGACCAAAACTGTTATATTTCCTGTATTTCTCAATATCAAATTATCCTAATTTAAAACACTGTCTTGAAAAGAGGCAAACAATATAGATTCCTTTAATTTATGTGAGGCCTTTAATTATTATTCTCCTTATGGGCCTTTATAAATATTTTCAAGTGGTGCTCGCTGCAGAACCACAAAGGCGGAGCTGCACCAGAAGGTGGAGCTGCACCAGAGTAAGCCCCGCCCATTCCAGAGTCGGCCCCGCCCATTCCATCAGAGTCAGTCCAATTCCTTCCAGTTGTCAGACTTGATAGCATTCTGGAACCAAAGAGGGTGTTATAGCTAATATCATCTAAAATGCAAGATTGAGGACGGAGTTGAGAGGTTAACTGAACCGTTTTTGTAAAGGTTCCATATAATTAAAAATCTAAATTTTGTAACTTTTTACCGTGTTATATTGTAATTTCCTCATAAGAAACACGCCAAAGCCATTTTTGGCCTCATTCGTGCATTTTCCTCCCATCTCCGCTTCAATTTTAGTCTCCTCCCCCAAAGCGGGTCTGGTCTTGGTTCTCAAATCTGGATATTCTGTGAATTTTCTGACAAATTATTTCTGAAATGACTTCTACTGAGACACCGGCGAAAAACCCTCCATCCCATCTACAGAGACACACTGGATGGCACAATTACATGTGACGCCACTTGCTTTTATCAGTGAAGTGGTTGTGGAGTCCGATTCACATGCAGCTTTGCGCAGGTTCGCCTCCCACTAGCGGAAGTATAAAGGTAGTTTAAAACCCTTTTTCTTCTTTTCTAGCTACACTTGCCAGTACTATGTTTACAACGATTTATTGGTATACCATTTACAATATAATGACTAACGTGTTTGTTTTTTTATTTATTCGTTTATTTAGCCAGTGTGAGTCCATTTGTGAGCAGAGTTTCAACTAAAATGCTGTTTAGGATCGACCAAATTCAAAGAAGTTTTAGAGACATAAATATTTTGCAGAAAATAAACATTACAACTAAAATATAAACAAATTAAATGTTTCAGCTGGCTAAATAGATTGCTGCCGACCCCACCGAGAGCCGAACCAGCATCAGCTGAGGGGGAAGTAAAATTTCAGGCAGACGATCTTGCCACCGGACTACCAGAACCCACAAAACTTTGAGCAGTAAATACTGTAAATGACGCTTTTGTCAGAGCGGCTGTTTGCAGATATTTACTAAAAGAAACCTTTTCATGTCGGGATATATTCAGGCTTTGCCATGTAGCAAGTTATATTTATCTTGTTTAATTGGAGCATAGAACATAGCATTAACAATTGTAAACTAGTAACAGCCGTAATTCATGTGGGTCAGGTTGGTTTGTGATATAGTTGAAAAAGAAAAACAGAAGAAGTCAGTGGGCTGGGCTGAGTTTGCGTGAATGGGCGGGGCTGACTCTGGTGCAGCTCCACCTTCTGGTGCAGCTCCGCCTTTGTAGTTCTGCAGCGAGCACCCTCTCAATATTTTTGGTGAATATAATTTGGAATGTATAAGTCAACCTAATATTTTAAAATGAAACACTTCTATTATTGGTGAGGCGTCAATTAATAATTGATCAATAATCACTTTTTTCATAGATTTATCATTTCTGTTTTGTCGTTACACACCTACACCGTTGGCACTCATAGCATCTTCTTTACACTTCTTCTTGGCCATTTTGTGAAGGATTGACGCTTTCTCTTTGAATCGTCCTGCAGAAGCAGACGCAATCCAGCAGGAGGGCATGTGACATTGTGCACAAGGATTGTTTTTCATAACACTGAAACAATCTGCAGAGGCTTTATGTGTTATACCTTCATTACTGAGGGGGTCCAGTGTGTGGATCATGAGCTGGAAGATGCTGTTTCTCATCAGTGAGTTGTGTAAAGAAGCACAACTGCCTTCCCTCTGCAGCCTCGGCTTGGCCTGTCACAAAGCAAAACTCTAAATATTCAAACACTTCATTTAACCTCTGTAGCTGTTATTTTCTTTATGTCATTTAAGTTAAATCCTAATTTTCTGGAAACAGATATAAAGAAATAACAGCAAAGATGTCTATGTTATACATAATGCAAAAAACTCACCGTCAACTTGTTCTCATCATCTTCAGGTACCTTTCAAAGAGAAACAGAAAAAAATGTTTAGGAAATGAGCTTTTTTATATGAACCCAGCAGGACAATCATCTGTATATTTCTGTTTGTGTTTGTGTCCGAGAGCTGCAGGTTTCTGGGGTTTTGTGTGAGCAGACTGGGCTGTATGGTTGGGATAGACCATAGATGAAATATGAAGCAATGTGCAGTTTACTGAGAAGGGAAAAATGGAAGAAACCATTGTTAGGCACCAATACTGATTTTAAAAAAAAAAGGAAAAAAAAGACTCAAGTAAAAAAGTTGGAAAATAGGAAATGTTGCTTGGATTTAACTCAGTCACAAGAAACTATGCAACAATTTTAAGAAAATTTCCTAAATCGGATTTTTTATTTGTTCAAAGAGGTAAGGTCAGCAGCGATCAAGTAAAGTGATTAAAATCTACTAATTAATTGTCTTTCAACTATTAAGGATGCAATAAACTCTAATCTGAAAATCTGGATCTGACGTGAATGCAGTCCACTCAGTGAAAACCGTATCAACAAGTGTCCTTCATGTACAGAGGCTGTACACATCTCATTAATGCCCTTATAAAACAGCACAGTGAGTTACATAATCTATCTCTGTTAAAAGGTTTTTGTTATACTCAGGGTGTAACGGAGTGCACACTGCACGGTCACGCCAGTGAGGTGAAACTACCGGAGCACGGGTCATGCACTCCGCAATAGAGGAGCGCATCACACATGAATAAAAAAGGAATTACAAGACAAAATGAACGGACAGGAATGATGGCGTGTTAATTACATTAATTTGGTGGCTCCACTTTGACAATGTTTCTGTGGCCATGCGTGTCATACTCTGGCACAATCTGTCCTGTCTCTCCACTCTCTGTTCAGTCCTGTGTCTCCACAACACATTCTCACTCCCAGCGCGGCAAAAGCAAACACTTGGTCAGCCACCCTCTGCCTCAGACCCCTGACGCCAAAAGTGTCCTTTTTCGTTACTTATGTGCGAAAAGGTGTTTTTCCCTTTTCTAACTGCAGATCCCAATGCAGCGTAAACTGACGTGATGGGATATCCGCTGATGCGGCACCGAACCAGCTCGTTTAACCGCACCTAAACCTTAATGTTTCACTATTTATAACCTTCCCCTCACCCTCATCCTAACCTTAACCCTCTTGCTACCTAAAACGTTACTCTCACTGTGATCAAGCGTCTGTTTCTCGTGCATTCTGACTGTGAATTTTCGTATTTGCCGCCCAGGGGAACGTTAGAACATACCATCTGGCGAGGGGGAGGTTACACATACCCTCTACTTTTAACCTCCACCGTGGTATATGAAACCTCCCCCTCGCGTTGGCTCGGTCCAAACCCGACCAATGACGAGACGGCTCCCTTCATAGAGCCAGCTTTTAGAGCGATCGACACATCACTAACGTGTTCGCTGCAAGATGGTTAAGGTTAGGATAGGGGTGAGGGGAAGGTTAAATAAGAGGATAAGGTTAGGGTGAGGTACAATGAGGTTGTTTGGTGCCCTGGCTGCGGACATCCCTTCACGTCAGTTTTACGCTGCATTGGGATCTGCAATCAGAAAAGGGTAAACCCCCTTTTCGCACATAAGTAACGAAAAAGGGCACTTTTGGCGTCAGGGTTCTGAGGCGGAGGGTGGCCGACCAAGCGTTTGTTTTTGACGCGCTGGGAGTGAGAATGTGTCTCGTCTGCCAATCACTGAAGACCCCAGCTCCTTTAGTTTTTAAACCCTCCCAGTTCTGTGTTCCTCATCCGTTCATTGTTTCAATGTCTCGTGTGCTCTTCATTAAAGCCTTTTTGTAATTATTCCTGACTGCCTTTCCCCTGCCTTTTGGATCCTCACCTCAACCACTCAACTCGCCCACGCTTGTGACAGTGCGCAGGACCCAGCTGCATGGCGGGCATGAACAATCAGTGATCTGCCACTCTCTGCTAACAATAAACCCCAGTAGCCTACACTTAGAGTCCATATAAATGATGTAATATAGGTAGAAAATTGATCTTTTATTAGACTCCCCTTGGGTGTGTAAGATCTGGGCTTCTAGGGGAGCGTGTCACCCTTTCAGGGGAGCCGAGCTCCCCTTAGCTCCCCCGTAATTCAAACCCTGGTTATACTCAGAATTCAAGACAACATTTTCATCAAAACAAACAAATAGAAAAAAGAAGCATTCATCCTATATCAGCACCTTTACATTAACCAGCAGAAGAAAATATCAGGGATTTTGGCATTTTTTGCAGTGTTTCTCATTTTATGAATGCATCAGCTTTTAATGGAGGTCATTCAAGCTTTCCAAAGATTTGTATTTTGTCAAGAACCATTGTTAGCACAAATAAATCATAGGAATGTTCCTACGTTTTGAGCCCAGCTTGCATAATCAAAATTTGAAAACAGTCCTAAAGATAAATTTGTGCTTAAATCGAATTACAAATGTAACCATTCTATAAATAATGAGAAAAATTAGTGACAGCAAAAACATTTGTGCAAAAAATTCTTTAACTGTAATAATTGTAAACATTTAATGAACATACTGTATATAGAAAAGAAGAAATCATGTGTTTCTTAAAATATCATATACAGATTCAAATGTTCTATTTTCTAAAGCTTTGTCTCCTGATAAAAAAAATATTGCGTCGGCATGTTGTTTTATTTATCAGATGTTTAAATGTCTCGTTAAACGTGAGACCAGAAGCAAGAGTTTCCCCAAATAATCATTTAATGCGAAGTTATTAAAGAAAACTTCTAATTTGAAAGAAATAAAGCAGGTCTGATTTATCTAATTAAAAAAAACCTGTTTTGACAGTTCAAGCATGGTTTCTACAACAACCAATAATAATAAGCCATTTAGCTCAGAAACATGAATGGAAGCAAGTATGTTTTATAAATGCCTCATAAATCTGTTCAATAGTAATTTTTTTTACATTCGCCTACATTTGAAGGTTGGAGACTTTTAAATAATCCTTAGATCAGCATCTTCCACATTAATCTGAAAATTTCTCCTCAGTTATTTTTAAAAATGCAGCATGTTGCATGATGAAACGTTTGTGGGACTGTTGTGAGAACATGAATTATGAACAGCATAAAGGCATGTTGCTTCCTCTGCAAGGTGTTTGAAAATATATGCACAGGTTGACCATCTGTTTTATTGTGTTTGGGGTCATCAGGTGAGTGAAGAGGTACAACCTGAACAGGTTTCTATAAAAAGGCCAGATTTATAACCACAGATCTTAATAGCAGCACCAATCACCACCCTATGCAAAAAATGTGTTGACATGTGAAGCGTGACCTTGTGTAATTTATCAGTGCTAAATAAAATGAAGCATTACTGTCACATCTCAAGCCGTTAAAAAAGTAGCAAATAATTAACATTAAACAGAAAACTTGCATTTGTGACCAATAGTGTGTGGTGATGATGCACAGTGATGATAGGTTGCATTAGAACAATCTTCCAACAAAGTTTCAGCATGACTGGTAACATCCCAGTGACATTTGGAGTAATTAAGAGTTTCCTATAACAAACCTGCATAAACATCACATACATGTATCACTGACATGTTGCTGTATAAAAAGCAGAATGAACCAGCATGTCTGACAAAGGCCAAAAAAGTGTGTATGGTTGTTCGTTTTCATGCGTCCCCGTGATGGACATGAGACTTGTCCAGGGTGTCCCCTGCCACTCGTCCATGATGACTTCTGGATGTGAATTATGAGAGCAATAGCGACAACTATGCCTGACTCTGGTTTATAAGGCTATCATTAGTTTCTGATTAGTCTCTGATCAGATGATCATTCCATAAAAATATAACTAAGATAATTATTATTTCATTTTATTTTATTTTATTAGTGAAAAGCTGATGGTGAGGACCCAGAAAAATATCAGATTTTATTTATTGCTGCTTGGTGCATTTATGAACCATATCAAAATTAGATTTTTGAATCTCAGCTGAGCCGACTGTGCTGAAAATGACTCAACTCCATTGATATGTTGATGTATCTGTACCTATAATTAAAAATGATCACAGCAGTAATAAAAAACAGTATTTCTCTGATTTTTTCTCACCTCCAAGACCATATGAGCACTCCTGTGGTTAAAAGTGCCGCCCTGGAGTCGACAGATTTAAACAGACTTCTCCCTCATCCCAATTACCGTTATGCCTCTGAGGTGCAATCAGATCAACTTTCTCTCTGTGGGCTCCTCTTTGTCCCATCCACCTGACTGCCAAGCTGTCAGACTTATCCAGGATTAATCCACAGCGATCACCACTTTCAGAATGCTAATTTTAAAGACTGCGTGTGAACTTCTGCAGTCCTCCCAGGTAACAGTGTTGTCAAACGGCTCTCACCGACATCTGTCAGCAACTCATCTTTACCTCCACATAGGAACAAATGAACAGATCAAACAATTTCTTAAGGCACTTCTGGAATCACTGATGAAACGTCCCACTCACTAGGGCAGTGTGGATGCTTTTTGTTGCAATGATAAAGAATGCATTAGCGTTTTAGTTGGAAATGACCCGAATATTTGAGTTTGCAGAAAGAACGCTTTGCAGTGTGTTGGACTGTGTTTGCTGTCGTCACTGCAGGTAAGCAGTTGATGAGGGGATAAAAGAGGATTGCTGACTTTACTGCCATCATAAAGCAAACCTGCAGGTGTCTTTGTCATCTCCTCCAACACGGCCTACCTCAGAAAGTAAAACACAAGCTCTCCAGTATATCAGTAGTTTGGTGCAAAAAAAAAAAAAAAGTTCAGACAGCAAAGAAGCATGCAGACTTTACATAAGGGTCAATCTGCTGATTCCTCTTTCCCCCAGGGAGCATCCTATTATTAGTGGCTCTAATGGGATTGGAGAGAATTAACCTTGGGGATTATTTAGCAGCTACTGACACATGAGGCCAAGGCAGCTGGACATCAAGTGCGGGACGGCAGCAGAAGAAAAGCTGCTCTTGAGGCTGAAGTGAGACAAGTCAAAGAAAAGCTGATTCCCAGATGAGATGTAT